AAGATAAGCCCCATTTCTAATAAAGCTATCCTGATGAGGATTATTTATCAAGAACTCGTGTTGGCAACATTGAATGAGCTCTAGCTAATTGGATATGAGTTGAGAGTCTTTCTCAAATTGTAGAATATTCATTTTGACAATGTCTCACCCCTGTTCAGGAAGTTGGCCCACTTTGATTAAACACGATATTGGAAAGTTCAAAACTTGCTGTGCTAATGAGGATAAAGACAGCATGAGAGCTCAAGTAAAACAAATAAATAAAATCATACATGTCTATGATTGGTATCTGAATCACTGCTGTCAGAACTTGACGTTGATTTTATTTTCTTCTTCTTCTCTTTTTTATGTTTCTTTTCCTGAAAGTGGAGAGAGAATTATTCACCATTCCTAATGCACTAGCAGACTTTTCTGTATTTTAAACTGATATTATTTATGGATAATCTTATCATCCTGTCACAAATTGCCCTTAAGAAATTTCTGAACTGTACAGATGGATGTAAGGGTTATTCCTCAACTCGTCAGCTATCAGTTATTAGAATCCAAAAGTCCAAAAAAACTTAATAAATTTTGAGAGCATTATAAATATGTGAGGCATGCTAACTCTCTTTGAACACCCAATGATATAACAAACACAAGTATATATATCAGGGGTAATTATCCCAAGGGGTAATTTTAAAATATTTGGGGGTAATGAGGCTCTTTGTAGTTTAGCATAAATTTTTGGAGAATAATAATTTTAGATGTTTTATTCTGTAGGGAGAAAGAGTGTAATAGTAAGGAATTATAGGGGGAAAGAGTGTAATAGTAAGGATTTATAGGGGGAAAGAGTGTAATAGTAAGGATTTATAGGGGGAAAGAGTGTAATAGTAAGGATTTATAGTGTAATAGTAAGGATTTATAGGGGGAAAGAGTGTAATAGTGAGGATTTATAGTGTAATAGTAAGGATTTATAGGGGGAAAGAGTGTAATAGTAAGGATTTATAGTGTAATAGTAAGGATTTATAGGGGGAAAGAGTGTAATAGTAAGGATTTATAGGGGGAAAGAGTGTAATAGTAAGGATTTATAGGAGGAAAGAGTGTAATAGTAAGGATTTATAGGGGGAGGGAGGTAATAGTAAGGATTTATAGGGGAAGGGGGTAATAGTAAGGATTTATAGGGGGAAAGAGTGTAATAGTGAGGATTTATAGGGGGAAAGAGTGTAATAGTAAGGATTTATAGGGGGAAAGCGTGTAATAGTAAGGATTTATAGTGTAATAGTAAGGATTTATAGGGGGAAAGAGTGTAATAGTGAGGATTTATAGGGGGAAAGAGTGTAATAGTAAGGATTTATAGGGGGAAAGAGTGTAATAGTAAGGATTTTAGGTGGAAAGTTCAAGAAAATGCAATCAATAAAGGACTACAATTCCGGCAAACTAGTCACTTTTTCATACAATTACTTTACCTTTTTCTTCTTTTTAACTGTTGAAGATTTTTCTGGTATTTTTTCAGGAATAATTTTATTTTCATCGAATTCTGGCACCAATTCATAACTTTTATTTCCCTTGACAACATAACAATCTTGAGCAAAATGACCTGAAAATCATCACAAATATTTATCATGTTTCACAATTCCATCTCATAACTATAGATAGCCTTGATTTTTACCATTCTAATGGTCTGTCAGATACAGTGACTGCTCCAGCCCAAGACTCAGTGTACAAATAAAGGACAGAAAGGTGGCTAGATGATGAGTTTATTATAGCTTGACATTGTGAAGATGATTGAGCAATCAATGTCAAAATAATTCTAATTAATGTCTTTGTGAATTAAGTTTATGAGTCTATGAGATTGAAAAAGAATTATAGACTAACCGTGTCCCCCACAACGTCTACAAGTTGTATTTAATACAGCACCAAGTTCTATTTTTTCTCTTTCCCTTTTATTAAACTGTCTTCTCTTCTTTTCATCTAAACTAAGAGTTAAAATAAAAAAAAAATGTCATTTGCTGGGTATAGCCAACTATGCCACAATACGATATGTATCATGAATTATGATATGGGTTAATATAAAAATGTATAACTTTAATTTAAAACTTTCAGTGATTATTTACCACTGTATATTTTCAGATAATAACAGAATATTATAACTATCAAATTATTATTGACAGGTTATGTGTGAAAACACGTTCGTCTTGAATTCCTGTTATCATCAGGTATCGATACACGACCACGTGATACGATACACTTATAGTGACATGTTGTATCGTGATGTATCGATTCAGACTAACAGGACCCACGCTATACAAATCACTGTATTACAACACTAAAATCATCAAACAAGATGTATTCATCATCTATTAACAACTGATATTTTGAAAAACAGAAGTTCAAAAACACAAGATCTCACCTCAATTCGACATTATTTGGATCCAAATCATTTCCTGTAGTTTGACTGACCATCTTCATAGACAGACTGATTTTATTGTCCTGTAAAGAGGAGAGGAGTTAAAAACAAATTAAAATTGTAAAATTCGGCAAAACATAAACATTTATACAGTGTAATTACTATAATTCTACCCAAAATAAGATTTGTTTATAAGATTTGAACGACATTAAGAAGCGGAGTGTACATATAACAGAAAACACAAGAAATATATTGTGGTGTAACACACTTCTTTAATATCAAAGTACACAATTTACACGTATTATCAGACGAAATGAAGAAAGAGGGAGCTTTTATGTCTAATATAGCCGCCTCAGTTAAAGTCTAACTACAGCCCTTTTGAACATTCATCAAATTAACCTTTTGACCTAACCTGATAAACAGTGCCTCACAAAATGCCAGCGCTGGAGAGGGTAGAAATTTGATTGGTTAAAGCAGACGTCGTCAGGTTAGGTCAAAAGGTTACATCGACGAATGTTGTTAGACCTTAACTGAAATGGCTATCTTAAAAATAAATGTTAATGAAAAACAGAGCGAAAGTTTGGTCTAATTTTAAATAGACTCAACGTGCACATGCTTCTAACCAATGAGAATTGGAAGAATATAATAACCAATCTATGATGATTAATTATATCTACCTCAGTTGAAATAACTTTACAATACACTCTTTCTCCTACTGACAACATTTCAGACGGGTCTTCAATTTTAGATTTAGACATCTGTGACTTGTGAACTAAACCTACAAAAAGATCCAACTCAGTCATGCAAATTGTTTTATTTTTCTACGTTACCACAATCAAAATTAAGAATGAAGACTGAACACTTAGCTTTCAATACTTGCTTACTTATTCATTTAATAACACAGGCTTTGTAAGCACATAGTACATGGTTTAGACAAAAGAATTTAGATACTGAGTATGGTTGTGGAGGCCACAAGCCAGTTCCAAGGACATGATTTCTTTTGAGACGATACCTTTAATCTTAGACAAGTTGATGTGGCTGTATTTGCAGGACTAATATTTATGATGAGCCAGATGTTTTGGACAACAAGTCATGTAACACATTGATGAATAACAATTGTATACTTTACCTTGTTTAAAATGACCAGGTATTTTAACAAAAACACCATACTTCTGAACACTTGAAACCTGAAAATTGGTAAAGGGATTGTGAAGAGGTTTTCCAAATTTTTTAAGTGTATCAGGGACACTGAGAGAATCAATTTGCACCATTCCAATTTTCAATCGGACATCTGTGGCTCATACAATTTCACTAAATATAAGTTTTTAATAATTTAAGGACGTCATGAATCACAAAATATTTTGCAGTGTCCTCATCAAACATAAAAATTTGAGAAAAACTCTTTACAACCCCTTTATGTCATTCAACCTATAGGACATAGGATTATCTGAAGAGTTAAGTAAGGGTCACCAATAAGATTAGCTCAACTTTGAAAGCATGAGCTATGTAATCAGAAATCTTTTTCACTTAGTAGTAAATCATTTAGTGAGTAAAGAGCTATTGTCTTTTTGAAGTTTTTTTTTTTAACCACAAAGCTTCATTGACCAAAATTATTGAATAAACTTAGTGATTTTACAGAAGCATTATTGCCTTCCTAATAATACACCCCCAAAACACTACCGGCACTTTATTCAGATTAGAATTGTAATGAAACTAATATGAATTTACCTCTCCATTAAAAATGGAATGAAGATCAGGGGGCTCTTCATCATCTCGCCTAGGTTTCTTTCGTCTCTGATCTCCATCCTCGTCATAATCACGTTTCGACATCTTTACTTAATTAGGCCTACCATATAATTACAAACTTTTTATAAATCGTTAATCCAACTATTCCATGTTTACAATGGATGACTTTATCAATCTTCGGCATTAAAGAGTTCTAAAATAAGAGACCATTTTCGACTCCAACGTTAAAGAACTGCAAAGGGGAGTAATTTTCATAAAATAGAGTTCTCTCCCTTTGATCACTCTGATATTCGTCCTTGACTTTTCATGAATCACCAGCCTTGACATTGATGAAAGGACTACAAATCGAAACTAACTCGGAATATCTATATGTTTGATGTGAAATTCCCAAGAAAAAGAACATGTCAGGGTACTATGCTCGCCGTAGTAACCTTATTGAGGGCATTGGAAATGAGGTTTTATACAGTGTGGCAGCGTTTTTAGGGATTTTGATTCCCATTGTGTATTATATTTGGAAGAAGCAAAACGAAGGAGTTGCCCCCATCCACCCTGACAGCGCTATTAATGTAGCTGCAACACGAGAACATTTAAGACGGACTGCAGATGCAAACGTAGATAGCAGTAGTAATGGAGTACCTTCTGCCCCTAGAGCTCGGAGAGACATTAACAACCAATTTACTTGTCCTATTTGTTTAGGGGATGCTGTTTTTGCGTGTGAGACAAATTGTGGTCATGTTTATTGCGGGATGTGTATTAATGCATATTGGGAACATGGGAACTGGATTGGAGGTATTCGGTGCCCTGTTTGTCGACAGCAAGTTAGCATCATTCTCTTTAATTTCACAGACGAGGAAAATGAAACGAACTCTCAGTTGAAGGAAGAAGTTAGAAGAACAATTGGACGATTTAATGCACGATTTTCTGGTGAACCCCGTCCATTCATGGATTATGTCCATGATTTGCCTACGCTTTTGCGTCACGTTTTTAACGACTTTTTCACGGTGAATGGTTTATTGATGATGTTCCGGTTTAGGATTGTGATGTGTTGTATTGCTGCCTTTCTCTATTTCATTTCACCATTCGACATTATTCCAGAATCCATGTTTGGAATTTTAGGATTTATAGACGATATTTTTATTATTTTATTGTTGGCTATTTATGTCAGTCTGATCTATCGTCAAGTCATACAGAATCGTGCTATGAATGCTGGGAGAACGCCCCCTATGCATTGAAAGTGAGATAACTTCATAATGTTGATTATTGTCTCGTTAAAAATAATGGACACCGAGAAAACTCTTACACATACACTTGTGCTCAGTTGTGTAAATGCAGCTATTTGACTGGCTTGTATGCTAGCAAATACAGCCAATCAGAGCTCTTGTTAGAAAGACTGTAATTAATAGATCTGCATGTGTGACTATTTCTGCTATCGAAGAAAGATGGCATTTCTTTAACTTGTGTTTTTTTTAACAGGGTTTTGTGGGTTATTTGAGTTTAATTTCAGAAGGAATTGAGTGTATTATGAGATGTTTTCTAGTGGTATACAAAACTTTTACACCTTTAGCTTTTTGAAACCATATTTATGTTCATTAACGTCAGGGTGTATCTTTAAATATTTTTCTAATTTGCCACCATTGTGTAATAAATGATAGCCCAGAAATATTGAAACACATTATCTTATCAATACCCAATTTTGATTGAGGTTTTTTTTCTTAAAAATTTAACTTAAACCTTTGAACATTGGGTGTGAATAAAATAAAGTGTTGATATACCCCTATACTTGAAGTGTTCAGTAGGGAAAGTATGCCAATTTGAGGGTTGATTTAAGTCTTGAATATATGTTAATAGTCTTCAGAAGTTCTAGAAATGTATGAAAATCTAAAAATGTCTCAAACTAGGCATATCTTTTCCGTTTTCTCTAGATGTCTTTCTTGCAGAAAAGTAGGACGTAGAACTCCATTCATTCCATTTCATTTCTAGATGTCTTTCTATATATGGTAGTGTCTCAAGAAAAGATGACACATGGATTTAAAGGCTCAAATTTCGATGGTGAGCTGTGAACATTTTTACTGATTAGCTTAGCTAAAAAAATTTCCAAAGTTTCTGAGACTAAGGTATGATTGGTCAATAAAATGGCACACCTGTCCCTTAACATAATTTTAATGTTCCAGTAGTCTCAATTGTCAATCACTGAAATCAATTTTTAAGTCTTGTAACAGTCTATATACCCTGATAGACTACAGACTTGTGTAAAATAAGCAAACGTCTAGTTTTGTTATTTATTTATTTCCATTTTATTTTTTGTTTTCAGTAAGATTTATAATACTGTAAATGAATATCAAGGCACAAGTTTTATTACAAAATAAATATCTCTTAAACTAAAATTCTATGAAAACCCTCACATTTGAATTTTATTATGAAAAAAATAAATCGAATTGAACAAAAATTTGTGTGCGGGTAAAAAATCCAAAATATGATCACAACTAGTTCAGTTTTTAAATTAAGCTATACTCTATTAATATATAGACACAGCTTTATGGAACAACAATCACTGGTTAAAGTTTTATGCAACGTTTTGACGTGTTTCCCCCATTGCATAAAACTTTAACCAGTGATTGTTGTTCTATAAAGCTGTGTCTATATATCGTACTCACAATTGCTAAATGCCATTCAAAGATTATACTCTATTAATATTTATATTATTTATCTTGTAAAGAGAGTGGACTGCTTGTATTTTTGTTTTAAGTCATCCTTGGATCAACCTAATTAAAATAAGATTACAATTTCATTTTGTTATTATTTTTTTTTGCCAGTCTCCATTGTAATCTAACAAGATTTATACCAAGGTTGTGTACTGGTGATGTTTCATGTTATTTAAAGCAAACAAATCATGTGCCATTCTACAGTCAATCAAAATCACTTTTACAAGCGAGATGCAGTAGTCATGTCGCTCTACTTTGAGTTTCCATTCCCCATTCATAGTTAATATTCAGACACGAATTCTGCATGACTCGCTATGATTGGTTGAAATAACTGTCAACAGTGTACGCTACCTTGGTATAAATCTTTTTAGATTACAGACTGTACGGTACTTCGGAAATGAGATGAAATGTTTCTCAATTGTTTTCAAAAGACAAACATGTTTTCATGAGATTTCTGCATAAAATGTAAAACAATGACTATCAAAAACAGTGAATGCATACAAAAAAATTAAAATTAAGGACTATGTCAAGATTTTGTCATTTGAGCAAATTATTCTCAAGGTTTCTTGATATATTATTGAGAAAGATGTTGATAATGAACAAAACTTTTACAATGAGTTTCATGATACACTTATAAAATATATTAGATGAGCTGAATCACAACCCAAAATAATAACAACCCATGACGATCTTAGACCTTTAAACCCTGATTAATTATGGATTGAAAAATGGTTAAAAATGAAAAGTAAAATTGACAGATAAGCAAATGATATCTAGTTTTGTATTTTCTTATTCTCGAAGTTAATGAAATTTTTGCATCAATCTAGATACAGCCTTAAATACAAAACAAACCTTTATTATGTGATGATCTGGTGTGATGTGAGTCAAGGGTTGTTAATTCGACTTTATTTGCTAGTTAAGTTCAAACGATGATCCAAAATGTTTGACAATATTGTTGGTTTTAAGGACATTTTTCTCTGAATATTCAAATGAACAGATTTTTGTAAATTTTCATAATTACAACAGAATATGGTTATTTTTCAACTGAAATTTTCTCAGCACAAACCCTGAACATTTTCTGATTATTCAAATAGGCGTGCACCTTTTTGTAAATTTTTCACAAGTACATTCTTAATTGAATCTTTACAGCACCAGTCTTGAATATGTTAAACTAAAATAAAGATACAGGATACACGATTACAGACAAACAACACAATTGCACAACAGCCCGATATCATAATGAATTTGTTCGGCGACGTTTTAATCGAGGAGGCGTAGAAATAGTCGCAGATGCATTAGAATTACTGTCCGTAAACAAATCTGAATTCTTAAAATTGAATGTTATATCTTCGTCCACCATTAACGAATTTTCACTAAGGCTTTCAGAGTCTGAGAATTCACCAGACGTCGTTTCTAAGGGTGTTGCTAGGGACTCATCTGAAATATCCTGCGTAACTTGTGTGTAGAATAAAATATAGGCTTGTGATTTCTGTACGTCTTGTAGTGTGGTGAACTCCACTTTAGAATCATTACAATCTAACCAGGAATCTGAAAAAATATAAATGAGTTGATTTAATACAAGGTTTTTGATTTGATATATTTACCAGACATATTTTATCCATATAAATCTGAAAGAATAACAAGTGGTTGCCTAGCAAGATGTATAAATAACTTTATAAACTTCGTTAATAATTTTCAGTATATCAAGGGAAGTCATTACTCTGTGTCAAATCATATCAAAATATTATAAAATTCAGTAGTTAAAAGATGATAAACATACTGGAAATCGTCCTAGGGTGCATACAAACAAACTTTGTCAACCCCAGACAAGCATGCTCTCCCCTTGTAACCTTTCGTTGTAACTGTAAATTAAGAATGTAAACTCTACCTGCTTCATTACTCCAACAATATGAGGTATAGTGGCCTGATCCGAAGCCCCAACCATGATGAACTACGACCCCTGCCAGTCGGTAGGTACATGAAGTCCAGCCGACCGAGTCTGAACAATATGGTGACATGTCTAAATCTTCATCAAATCTAACATGTGCTGCTATTTTCTCTCTATGATAACGCCCTGACCATCTGAAGTATTTGAAATAATTACTATTAAATAAAAGAGATTTACTTTAGTTCTCAACCAAGAATATTTGTTAATAGTTACTATAACAATGGCAAAACTTTTGATATTCACAGTGTATTAGGCTATATTTACATTAGCTTTTATTTTTTTCATTAGACTAATACAAATTCGTGTGGTATTTATATCACAATAAACGCTGTTGCCTCATCACCAACCAAAAAATGAAGTGTTACCCTATGGCAGTTATGGTGGTATATATGAACAACGGTTGGGTAACAGTTTATTGCTTAAATATGTCATAACAGAAAAACAATTGGTGTATTTATGTGGTCAAAGATATTGATAACAGTTGATATTGGCATGTTTTAGAAGAAAAAACCAAGGTAATTGATATTCTTAACTGGTCTTAAAAGGTTACCTTTCTATCTGAAAAATCATAGGTATGAATAGCTTGTAAAGATACTGATTCCCAGGCGATCCTTCAAAAGCACAGGCTGTGGCATGAGAATATAGTAATGAAATAATTTGAAGAAGTAACTGACCTGAATCGTTTTAAATGGAGTCGAAGGACTGGAGGTAGTTTATTGATTAGTAATTGTTTACATGCTTCACACAGAATGGACGGTTTACTTTTACTTTCTTTTCTTGCTTCTGAAAACATAACAAACAGAAAATATACCCTTGACTTCATTTCCCATGTAGGAGCAAGTCTGATCCCAACTGATGTTCATATTTATACTTCAATGAAACATTATGTTTGCTTTCTTATAAACAGGCAATTCCTTTAATACCAACTATGTTAGTTCCATACACAAGTAAAGCAAAACACATGGTCAAGATATAGAGTGATGTAAGGGCTATGTTGTGGAAAGCTTTTGAGATACAAAGGTCAGTTTTAAATGAGAATCCATTTAACAAGGCCAGAAAGTCTCAAAAATGACCCCTCTAAAACAAGTAGTATATACTCACTATTACAATTTTCACAAGAGTAAATAGCACCCTCCAACATTTCAATCTCGGTAAACTTTGATAACATCTCAGTCACATGACAGGAAGTATCCGAGATATTACTATTAGATGATGTGATTTGATAACGATCGGGAAATTCTAGTGATAAATCTAAGAATGGTTCGTATGTTGAGGATTGATGGTCACATTTCATACAAGTTACCTACAAATAACAAACATAATTTCTGAATGGCAAGAAACAGAGTCAGAATCCTTGTTAATATTCTACAGCAGTGGGATAAAGCTCTGATCTCAGTGATTCATTGGAGAACATCTTCAATAATTGGAACAGCTTTGTCTGTTTGGTTTGGCTGTTCCAGTAATTGTAAATTCAGTTAATAATTAAGAAACTTACACTGCTAACTAGTTGACCTTGAAAGATATCAGTTAATATGTTGCTATGGTGATTAGTTTCAGGAAGTTCCGGTACCTCATCTTCTAATTTATCTAATAATTCACTGTAATATAACAATTCAATAAATAATGATGAAAAAAACATAACATTCAAATTATTGACAAAATCAATAAATGAATAGAGTTTTACGTCCTACTGTTCTGCACCATGTGAGTTAATGAAGACAGAAAAACCCCCGCAGGGTACAATGAGGGTAATTTTGCCAAGACAGCGCCATTAGCCTGCTCTTTTTAGATTTCTAACTGACGGGGCCTCAGTTTATTGTCACATACGAACGACTAGACGCTTTTTCCTTGTCAGCCCCTGTTACCTGCATAACTGATAGGAGGAAACCGGGTTGAAAAATTCCGAAGGAATTATCGCGACTTATGCTTGGTTTGAACCCTGGACCTTCTGAACGAGCAGGTGTCTAACTCACTGAGTCACCAAAAAACAAGATATCTTTCATCTTACCATAAAAATTCTTGAGCATCATGTTGAGAATAACCTTTAAACATGGGAATTCTGTTCCATACTGTATGTAGAAAACCATGGGGACTAACTTGACTCCATTTACCAGACCATAAAACACGTAATAAACCATGTAATTCATGCCATAGAGATCTGTAATTTATCATACCTTAATCTTTACTTGAGGTTTTAATCATTATAATATTTATCATTAAGTCTTATTACAATTAAAAACTATCATGATGGGAGGTTGTTACACGAACAAAAGGTTCATCAGTGTCTAATGCTTCTCTTAATACATCTTTTGTTGAGGGGGCAAAATTTGATTGGCTGGCAGTGTCATTAAATTGACAAATGTTCAAGAAAGCCCTAACATAAATGGTTATATTAAAAATAAAAGCTAATAAAAAACGGAACGAAAGTTTGGTATAAGGTTTTATAAGAGAAACTCTCTTATAGAAGCACTGGCCTAGGTCACAAGTAGGGACTGTGAATTACAGCATTGGAATATAATATGTACATCAATTTGATAGAAAATTACCTACTTCTGAAGAGATTTACAAGATAAACAAATAATTCAGACGGTCTAAATCTAATTAAAATGACTAGAGCCACACGTGGCACA